TTGTCCATGTGGCTGAAAAACATTTGCAGAAATGGTCCATGTGACATAAAATACATTGCAGAAACAGTCCCTATTGCAAAAATACATTACAAAAATAGTCCTTATGGCATAATATTATTACAAAATGCTCCCTTTTGCAGAAATACATTACAGACATGATCCTGTTGGCATAAAATACATTGCAGAAATAGTCCCTATTGCTGAAATATGTTACAGAAATAGTCCCTATTGCATAATATCTTTACAAAATGGTCCCTTTAACATAAATTTTTATAGACATTGTCCCTTTGGCACAAAATACATTGCAGAAACAGTCCATATTGCTGAAATACATTACAGAAACAGTCCCTATTGCTGAAATACATTACATAAATAGTCCCTATTGCATAATATCTTTACAAAATGCTCCCTTTAACAGAAATTTTTACAGACATAGTCCCTGCGACAGAAAACACATTGTAGAAACCGTCCCTGTTGCAAAAATACATAACAGAAACAGTCCCCATAGCATTATAATTTCACAAAAAAGTCCATTTGGCATAAAATATTTACAGATTTTGTCCCTGTGGCAGATATATTTGACAGATGCAGTCATGTGGCATAATGTTTTTACAGAAAAGGTAGGAAAAAATAATTACAAAAATGGTCTCAAAATAAATACACATATTTGATCAAATTTTTTAAAATTCTTTGTTCTTAGTATAGCATTGTACTTTGAAAGTACAAAGCTATAATTTGGTAGTTTTTCACTATGTGTGTGTGTTTGTTTGTGTGTTTGTTGTAAAAACAAAAAATAATTTCTTTAACAATTTTTTTTTAATATTAGCATTATTTATAATGTTTAACTTTTTATATTATTCCAAGAATAGCATTCAACTTTCATTTTAATGTTGATTATAATGTTAAAGTTTCATTTTAATGTTGCTATAGTGGTTTAATTTCAATATTTTCTCAATTTTAACAATCAACTTTCATGTTATTCTCAATTATTACATTTTACTTTCTTATTTTTTAATTATAGTATTCAACTTTCAGTCATGAGAGATTGTAGCATTTTACTTTTATTTTTTTTTTTTCAATTCTACCATTCAACTTTCATTTTAATGTCAATTACAACACTTTACTTCTATTTTTTTCAACGATCACATTCAAATTCCATGTTAATGTCGAGTAATGGAGGATGAGAAATGAGGGTATCATGTAACGCCCCGTTTATTTAAATAAATTAATAAATGTAATTCCCGGATTAATTTGTGAAGAATTTTAATAATGAAGGGTTGTCAGTAAATTACAGAGTTAGTTTGAGAAGAATTTTAGAAGCAAGGGTATATTCGGTAAATATTAGGACTTCAATTGAAGAGATTTTAAATGGCTGGGGTTAAAAAGGTAACTTATGGACTTATTTTGAAAGAAAAGAAGGAAGGAGGGATTGATTATGTTAATATGGGGATATGTTTTATGGCACCAGGTATATAAGCTATATGAGAACCCTAACCCTATCTCAAGGTTCAGATGCCATGTGTGAAGTCGGTCGCCCCTTTCCCCCCTTCCCCTCGTTTTTCCGATCTGATCGAGTCGCCGCTTACCACCGGGACACTGTGTGTGGCTTGGAGGACCACCGAGACTGGAGCATGGGTTGTGAATGAACAGAATAACGTCGGAGTCCGTTGCTGCTGTTTGCTGCCGGCGAGTGCTGGAGACGAGGCCGACGTCGGGGTTGTCATATCTCTATCTTCTCCGGTAATGACAACCTTTCCCTCTTTAGTTCCTCTGTCATTTCTCTCATGACTGCCGTCATCTCCGCCCTAATGGCTATCACCTTTTTGTTGATATTCTTTTCGGTCGCCGCAAACCACCGTAGGATGGCAGTGATGTGTGTATTTCACGTGTGTTTCTGTTTTTCAGCCAAGGATGTGATGTTTGTGTGTGTTCCGTCGTCACCATGGGAGTGTGTGGGTGAAAGGGTGGTTGGAAACGCTTGAAGACCACCATGGCAGCCAACCATGGTGGTTGTTGCCGGGAGTTGCTGCCAAACGCCACTACCACCCCAAGACCATCGTTGTTACTGTCGAGCACCACCAGGTGGTGGCTGTGTTACTTTTCCGAGCTTAGAGGTGGGTGTGTGTTATTTCAGTGATGTATGATTGGGTTTGTTGGCCGGATAGATCAAGAAAGTCACCGCCACAAGTCACCGTCGGCCACCACTAGGGTGGTTGTGTGTGTGTGTGTATGTAAGAGTAGTTAGAGTGTGTGTTTATTTGTGGATTTAAAAGCTTGTAATTGTAATTAGTAAAAGATGTAATGAAACGAACCATAACCACCACCGTAAGGTAATGGACTTAATGATTAGTTTTGGGCCTATTGGGCCATGTTTGGATGGAAAACCCTAATTTTGAGTATTTGGGCCTTGAACTTATTGGGACCCACCTTTGGGGCATTGGGATTGGATTGTGTATTAAGCCCAAATTATTCCATATCATTTATCTAGTAAAGGACTTAATGGATTAAGTCCTTAAAGAGTTAAGAAAGAAACACTTAACCCTAATTGCCATTTTATGTGAAACCCTAATTTCACTTGGACTTTGAGTTGGGCCTTCCTATTGGTCCTTGGTGATTGGGATAATAATAGACCATCCAAGAGCAAGCAAATGGACTAGAATAATCTAATGGACTTAGGGTAAGGCCCACATGAGGAGTTTGGGCCCAATTTGGAAAATTGGGCCATCGATGGGCCATAGTCGGGTCCTTGATGATTATGAGATGTTGGGCTTTGATTCCTAGTTGACTTTGGGCCTATGGATTGGGCCTTAGGCCTTAATAGGTCAAGCTTAGGGTAATGTAACAATTATTCAAAGTATCTAATTATGGATATGTAGTGGAACCCAATTATTAATAGAGTGTTATTTTGATGTTGACAAATTCGGGAATCTGTCATCCAGCAGTTAGGGTTTTGTCAGTAGGACTTTAGCAGTGTGAGGTGAGTCATCTTCTAGTAGGAACGAGTCTAAGGCACCAAGGCCGACCCGTATATGTGTGATATGTTAGTAACTGAGCATGGGCGGGGCCCGTATCTCATAGTAGCTGAGTGTGGGAGGGGCCCGTATCTCATAGATACCTAGTGATACTTGTTGTTTGTTTAGAGCTTGTATGTATTTTCATGACTAGTGAGTGTGGGCGGGGCCCGTATCTCATAGTAGTCGAGTGTGGGCGGGGCCCGTATCTCTTATTAGTCGAGTGTGGGCGGTGCCCGTATCTCATAACCGTACTTGATTATGATATATGACCGAATGATAGATTAGTTATACATGTTGTCTGTGTGATACTTGTATGTTTAGGCATAGCAACTGAGTGTGGGCGAGGCCCGTATCTTAGAGATAGCGGAGTGTGGGCAGGGCCCGTATCTCCATGAGTGTGGGCGGGGCCTGTATCTCCTAGTTGCATGTTATATGTGTATGGTATGTGATAGTTTTGGGAGACTCGCTAAGCTTCGTGCTTACGGTTTTCAGTTTTGGTTTCAAGTACTTAGTTTTCAGAAGAGGAGCTCGGGAAGATTGTAGTGCACACACCATTTGTTCGGCCTCGGATGTTTCTACTCTGATATATATTTTGACATGTGACTTTGATACATGACTTATTACTTTTATATGATGAGTATATTTATGGTTTTACTAATGGTTTAAAACGAAATTTTTGGACTGTATTTTTGGGACGTTACAAGTTGGTATCAGAGCCTTGGTTTGAGGGATTCGGGCACACTTCCAGGTGTGTCTTAACTCAAACTAAGGAATTGGTATAGAAATTTTCAAAAGGAAAATCAAATTTTGTAAGAAGGATTTTGAGGAAAGAAAAGTGTTTTAGAAAAAGCGAAAAGAATTTTTATAAAGACAAGAACTTTGAAAAGAGAAAAGGGTGTGGTGCATGCAATCAGCCGCGCTCAAGTAAGTACTCCCAAATTACCCATACAAGTTCATGTTATGATATGATTATCAGCTTAATGAGAACTGCATGCTAGATTAGGACTAAGGATCTAGGAAGGATGCCTTATGTGCCTATTATATGTGTACCAACTTTATGAGAACTGCATGCTAGTTTATGGCTAAGGATCTAGGAAGGATGCCTTATGTGCCTGTTATATGTGTACCAACTTATTGAGAACTACATGCTAGTACAGATTAGTCAGTATGATAGCCAGAGTAGTATATGCTTGATTATGTGTACTCAATGTAAATTTTTGGAGCTGAGATTACAAATAGGATAACTTTTAAATTAGAGATAGAGGTGCAGATATTTATACACAAGTTTTTCTTTTTTCTATTTATATATTTTTTTTATCTAGAAACGATATACGTTTCAGAGATTTACAAATCTAACAATTTTACCTTATATTTTGCAAAAACTCGCATTAGGTTGTTTCGTTACCCCGACTTTGGTTTCATATTAATATTTTTTTTTATGTTGACTATGGTTTCAAATATTTTGACTACGAATTCTGATATATTTGACTACGATTTCGTACATATTCTTACTAATACATATATAAAGATAATATTTTTTTAGAAAATAAAATTTCAGTGTTATTTTTTTCTCTCATTTTTTCTCTCAAATATCAAAGTATTAATTGCGTTGAATATTTTGTTTTGGTTATCAGCAAGGAGATGTCAATAAGTTGATTCCCAAGTATCATATATATCTTAATTCATAACTGAAAGCCGACTTTAATGTATGTTTAATTTTCTTATTGGCATATATAGAATTGGTCTTGTTTTACAATCTTAAGGATATGATTTCATCTTACTTTAAAATTTTAATAATTGATTTGATGTTGTGTAATTGGTGAGACTTTAGACCTGATTTTTATTTTTATTTTTTTTTATTTTTTTTTTTTTTCAGAGCAGTATGAATGAAATTTAGATTTGAAATATTAAAGTTGATAAACAACACCAAACCAAAAGTCAAACCGATAAATCCAAATCCATTGTAACAACAAAGAGTATTTAACATCACTTGTCGTCTTCCTTGAGTGCTTTATCCTCCTCTTTCTTCTGCTCAAACTGATAAAATCTCAAATTATTTTTTATTTAAATTAAAAAAAATAAAAATACAATCTTTGAAGTTTGAGCTAACTTAACTAACCTCAAGCTGATTTTGCATTGAAGCAAGCAAATCCTTGATTAAAGGAACATTCGGGTCAACTCCTGGCAGCTTCAAATCCAACAAACATCCCAAATAACCAATTTCTCTCCATTTTTTGTATTATTATTATTATTATTATTATTATTATTATTTTCTATTCACAAAATAAAAATTAAAAAAAAAAAATACAGAAGCAAGAATAGATGAGACAAATGACTGATCAGCCAAAAGCTTCCCCATATCTGATTCCCTTGATCCTAATCCATCTTTTGCACCTTCTTCAACACACAATTGTAGAGCTGCAAGTTGCAAATTAAATTAACACAAAACTAATTCTAAAAATATCAACTATCAAGAAATCTTAATGAGATAGAATGGGTGGTTGGGAGCATATATGGCATGCAAAGGCATAAAGTTGCTAATTTTATGCCTTATGACCCTTAACAAGTCTAAGATCTAAATTTTGAGTGAAAAGTCTTCATGCATTAAGGACTTAATGGAGTTTGATGCAAGACAGTTAGTACACTGGGTGTAATATGTTGTACGTTGTGCGTACAACTCATGGATCCAGTACGTTAAGTGTATTGAAGAGGTATGTTGGGCTTACGCTCTCAGAGAACCTTGGGCTTCCGGTGGAGCTTCGAACCTTTGGGACCTAAAGGTTTGGGCCTGGACTAGCTGAATTTGTGGGCCTAAATTTATTATTTGGGCCATTATTGGCATGTTGGGCCTTTTGGGCCTTGTATCCCAATATAGAATTGGATTTTTATGTTAGGCCCATTAGTGAAGGAAAGGCCTTTGGGCCATTATGGTGGGACTTGGACTTAGGATTTTGGGCCCATGGTTGTGTCATGATCCTAATTAGGGTTATTTGTATATTGTTCAGTTTGGGATTTTGGGTTGGTAGAGTCGAGTAACTATTGTGATCAATAGACTAAGGTGAGTCTTTTCATTATACCAATGGGTCGAAGGCACCAATGTCGACCCATTAGTTGATATGAGATTTCATTAGTTATGTATGCAATGGCTTGTTATCTGGCATGTTATGACTTGGTAAAGACTATGAGGGGAGCCAATGGCACATGGTAAAGACCATAGGGGGGTGCCCATGGCCCATGGGTGTAAGGCCATGGGGGTAGCCCATGACATTCCGGGTGAAGACCATAGACGGACTCCATGACAATCTTATATGTATGTTGCATGACATTATATGGTATATGCTTGTGTATTTTGGGAAACTCACTAAGCGTTTGCTTACAGTTTGTTGGATGCTTTAGGTACTTCAGGGTCTAAGGGCAAGGGCCCAACTTGATGGCGCAACAGGCACTCTCCAGTGTTCTGCATTTCTTGTTTTAGATACTCTGATCTTATGGACAAAAGTTTATGTAATGAAATTTTGGGAAAACAAATATAATTGTGATTTCTGAATATTAAATGAAAATTTTTATTTGAATTTTCGGGTTGTTACAAGTTGGTATCGGAGCCTTGGTTTGAGGGATTCAGACACTCTATCGGATGTGTCAGAACTCAAACCAAGGAAATGGTAAACCCTTTTTCAAAAGAAACAAAAGTTAATTTTTTCCTGAAAACGGTTTTCTTAAGTAAAATGGGGAGAGTGCAATGCGCGTAATCGGTCGAGCTCAAGTAAGTGTTCCCAATGTATTAGCCATGCTATAGATATATTCTTGGAAATTGATGTCGAATATATTATTTGCTAAGTGTATGCTTTCAAAGTTGTATATGTCTAGGATTGCATAGCCCTAGAATGATGGATTATGCCTTATTCTTGTTCCTTGTTTGGTTGTGGTTTAGGGTAGAAGTTTTATTTGACAATCTATGTGATTCTATTTGTGTATAACTTGCATGCATAGGGCAACCTACTATGATTGATTTAAGTTTCTGGTTCGGTGAGGATTGAGAAATCCTAGAATAGTCTAGGATCTGAGTTTGTGTTTTGTTCTGTGGGTCATGTTATTTGTGGTTGGGTGAATTAGAAATACCAGGTATAGCCTTGGGGAAGGTACAGATAGGTGTGGAAGGTAGTGTTTGGCCCGTACTACTGAAAACACAAGACATGTACCCGAAACAAGGACAGACATGGAGGCTCTGAGGAGTCTGGTGAGGAGGAATCCCTTTGAACTTCTTTATCAATTGCTATTTATGTTGTATTTTTCAGTTGAGGATGGTGATGATTATGCGAGGAGGTTCGGGTTCAGGATTATGATCAGGTTCAGGCTCTGGTGTAGAGCCCATTGATGAGAGGCTACGCGATCTTATCGCGGCTAAGGTTACTCGTGGCATACTTGACGCTACCCCAGTGATCTTTGGTACCGTCAAGGAAGGGATCATGGAGATTATGGAGGAGCGGCTCAGGCCTTTTCGTGCCGAGATCGTTGTGGGTCAGATTGGGGCTCGAGCTCCCTCATTTCGGGAGTTCAAGGCGTGTGGTGTGCTTGAGTTCTTTGGGGTTAGGGTCCCATCACTAGTCGTCGTTAGGTTGCAGACATGGAGAATGCCCAGCACACGAGCTTTTGCCGTGAGGCGACAAAGGTGAGGTTCGCGTCTTGTATGCTGAGGGATCGGGCATCTACATCAACATGAGAGAGAGAGAGAGAGAGAGATGTTTATGTGTGTGTGTGTGAGAGAGAGAGAGAGATTTGAAAAGGGACTATCGATGTAATTTCTTCAAACAATAGGGATACGAGGTGTCCATTTTATTGGCTTCATAAAAACAAACACAAGGCATTCCTACTCAAGGTCACCTTTGAGAAGGCTTTTAACTGCCTCACCTAGGATTATCTCGACTTTGTCATGGCATAGATAAACTTTGGTAAAAATGGTGCAATTGATGTCTATGTTCAACTCGTGACTATGTAATAATCAACGGTTTAGCGTCCAAATAATTTTCACTCAAGAGGGGAGTTCACAGAAAGACCCTCTCTTTTGTTTTCTTTTCATCCTAGCGATTGAAGGACTTAACATAGCACTTGAAGAAGCCAAAGAGCATGGCCTTATCCAAGGCATTCACCTTGCCTAACAAGGATATAACCTAGATTTCTGTAGTCTATTTTCATAGTCACCGGTGGTCAAAATCCAATCAAGCTTGTTGGTCATAAGCAATTGCTAAACATCAACATCTTGTGGCAGTTAGGAACTACAAAGACTATTTGGCAAAAATGACAATCCTGCCCCTGAATAGATTGTGGACGATTTTACCCCTAGGAAAGGTCTTGGTGGGTGTTTGAATCTTATTTTATAAGATGGTATCCTTTCTTAGATAAGGATGTACATTTAAAATGTAATTTTCAATAGTTATAATCATTAAAGAACTTTTGTAGCCTCTTTCCTTTTCCCATACAGCATACTTAAAAAACAATTTCAATTTCGTGTAAGACAACTAGACACAAGCAACAACATTGAAATCACAAACAATATCCACTTTGAAAATTATCCATTGAAAGATGAGAAATTAATGATCATCTTATCTTTTACAAATCCAAGTAAGTGCCATGACATGATTAAAGTTGATAAACACCACCAAAAATCACTTGTCATCTTCCTTGGGTGCTTTATCCTCCTCTTTCTTCTGGTCAGACTGATCAAATCTCAAATTATTTTTCATTTAAATTAAAAAATAAATAAAAATACCATCTTTGAAGTTTAAACTATAACTAACCTCAGGCTGATTTTGCATTGAAGCAAGCAAATCCTTGACTGAAGGATCATTCGGGTCAACTCCTGGCAGCTTCAAAACCAACAAACATCCCAAATAATCAAATTTCTCTCCATTTTTTGTATTATTATTATTTTTTTTTCTATTCACAAAAAAATAAAAACATACAGAAGCAAGAATAGATGAGACAAACGACTGATCAGCCAAAAGCTTCCCCATATCTGCTTGCCCTGATCCTGATCCATCTTTTCCACCTTCTTCAACAGACAATTGTAAAGCTGCAAATTGCAAATTAAATTAACACAAAATTAATTCCAAAAATATCAAGAAATATTAATAGTAAGACTTTTAATTTAGTTTACCAAGTGCCAAATCTTGATCATCAGCAGCTGCCTCTGACATGTCAGCATCCCTTGTTGTCACAGTAGCAGCAGCAGCAGGATCATCCATTGACATGGCAAGAGCTTGTTGCAGCAATGCATTCTCATCATCCTGTGCCACCTCACCATTATTAGAAAAATTACCAAAAAGGGTAAACTTAAAACTTAAAAAACAAGAAGAAGAAGAAGAAGAAGAAACCATTAAATCATCTTTTTTATTCTCAGAAGTCCCAACATTTTCAGACATAGTTGCATCTTGTGAACTAGACTCCCCTCCTTCATTCTTTGAAGAATCATCTGCAGCTTTTTTAGCAGCAGCTTCTTGCCTTGCTCTTTCTTCTTCCATGGAGACACGAAGAGCAAGTGCCAGCTCAGGATCAAGATTCGGGTCAACACCAAAGTCAAAACCAGACACACCACCAGCTGCAGCTGCAGCTGCTGCTGCTGCAAATCCACTTCCACCTTCTCCATCTCCAGTAAAGATTGGAGTACTAACAACAGTAAAACATTCATCACCTTAAAGTTAATAAATCATATGTTGGGAATGAAAAAGAAATTATAATTTCTATAATAAATAACCTTAGAAGAACATCAGAAAGAGCATTTGATCCAGCTGGGACATGAACAATGTGACTGCTGTCATTGTTGTTTACAGCTGCAACTAAAGCTTCAAGCTTTTCTGACTTTGATTCATCTTCTTCACCAAAGTTCACAACATCAAGAGCTACACTGTTCTTCTTTAACTTCTTCCCTATCATCTCCAGTACTTTCTTATCGTATTTTACAGGACTGAAATCCAAAACCAATAAATGTTGATTGTTAATAATAAGAGGAAGAAAATCAGAAGATGACAATGTAAAGTAAAAGGACCTTATACATATTACATACCCTCCAGCAAACACAATTATCCTTTGTTGCTGTTTTTTGTTTTGCCGATGCTTTAAAGCTAACTGAGCAACTTGGATCCCAGCTGCTAAGTTCATCTCACCTCCTATTTCTAAACCTGAGTAAGTGAAGAATAAATTTCAGCACTTCAAACTTCATACTAATGTGTTGTAGATTGTAAGTAAATACTCGAATCATTCAAAGAAACTAACCATGCATGCACGCCAGGATTTTGCCAAGATCGCTAGTAGGAGTGACAAGAACACGAACGCCTTTGCCAGCCATTGTCAATACGCCCACAGTATTTTCAGGATTAGACTGCAACATCAAATTTTCAGTTTCTCATCAGAGAATAAGCCCCGATAGATGAATATAAGTTATGTAAAGAGAAAAAAACTGGTAGCCAATCGTCTAGAACTACACAATTCATCGTCTCAATCTACTGAAAACTTTTCCCAATCAAAAATATTTGCGTACGATTTAAACTACTGGCAACAACAAAACAAAAGCCCTATGATTGATTATCAAATTACCTGGGTTTTAGCGCCACAAATGAGATTAACAGCGTCGGCTTGAGCTTGAAACCTAGTGGGTGAGTAATCCCCGTTACGCATCCATTCTGAATTATCGATACAGATCATCGTAGCCTGATTTCAATAACAAATTAAAACCCTAGTTTTTTTTTAAATAGAAGAATATATGGTAAAACTGAAAACGTACCTCGAGCACCATGATTGAAGGTTGACGAAGAAATCAAAAGAGCGAGTGATTACAAG